CACGTTTTCTCCAACCAGATTTGATGAGATGGTACTTTAAAAAAAAAAGCACCAAAAAAATCATCCAACCAAAAAAACCCCCAAGCAAACATTTTCAAAGATGAAATGAGGAGTCCACAGTGCTAGTGTGGACTAGTATTTGTACATTTGCCCCTGACACCATTTGAACAGCATGAAGAAAAAACTTCAAATGAGTAACGCCAGTCTTGCCACAAAACTCATTTGCAATGTCTAGATCCAGCTTTCAAACAAAACTGACAAGTATTTATTCAATAGTAGTTTCATACTATGTTTTCAACAAACAAACGTTAGTGCTTTCCTTTTGAATTTTCAGTCTTCTGGAAATGCAGCCCCTTGTAACTTGGCTGCACATCTGTACTGAGCATGCAAAAAGAATTCTTACTTAGGGCCTTTCTTATATACCAGCCATTAAGACATATATATATATATCTATATATAAAAGAACCTGGGATACCAGTTTCTTACAGTCCTTTCGGTTTGGTTTTCTTTCTCCCTGTTCCCCCCCATGCTCCACTCCATTCTCCAGGATATCAGCCTAGATTGCTGACAACAGCATGAGGAGGGGATGGAAGACTTGCAGGCACCTGGGATTTCCTAAACGAAATCTTTGGCAACTGTGTCTTTTTATTATTTATTTCCTTATTTTTAATTCCACCCCCCTCAAGCTGTCATTCCTTAGCAGTGAAAATGAAAAGCTGCCATTTATGTGTGTACAACAATGCAGGGCTCTGCAGGCCACATGGCTCCTGCAGTTTAATTTACTTTAATTCATTTTATATTGAACCAAATGATCTTATTTGCCTTTTTTAATGGAGAGCCTTCAGCATGCAGGGTGGGAGCCAAGCCCCCCTTCCAAAGAAATTATGAGCCCAGCTGCTATTAAAACTTGTACTCAGCTTGATGTGCCCATTACAGCTCATGGGGGAGGAGGGGACATCTTTAGCCACAGGTAGGCTCCTTCTCCCGCAAACTCCCGCTGATTGCAGAGGTGCAAGACTGGAGTCTGATGTTGGGGATACCTTCCATTTTCTGGTTTTCTCCCCGATTTGCAAGCTCTTCTTTCCCTGCCTTCCAGCCTCTCTTGGCACCTCTGTTTTCCAGGCTGGTTTGGAACCTGGGAAAGTTCTGGGACTATTTTGTCAAATTTTCAATCTTCCCTCATTCTTTGGAGGGGTTGCTTGCAGAGATATTCTGTTTCTGAGGTATTCAAGCTTGGAGAACTCCGGCTAGTTGTACCCCCATAATATAGTAGTCTTCATGCTTCACACTTCAAGCACTCATCATGTTCACTCTTCTCTCTATTCAGGTTGCAAAGGCAAACCTCTTTTTCTGCATTTCAATTTTAGTTTGCCTTTTCTCAGTTATTAGAGCATGAACTGATGCTATAAATCCAAGATGGTTCTTGATGTCACAAGGCTCAGTACTGGGTCCTGCACTTGGGTCACAACAACCTCATGCAATGCTACAGGCTTGGGGAGGAGTGGCTGGAGAGCTGCCTGGCGGTAAAGGACCTGGGGGTGCTGGTCAACAACTGGCTGAACATGAGCCAGCAGTGTGCTCAGGTGGCCAAGAGGGCCAATGGCATCTTGGCTTGTATCAGGAATAGTGTGGCCAGGGCATTGTGTTTCATTCCAGTACCCATCCTCAGGAACTTTGTCTTCTATCTTGAAACTAAGATGAGGAAGAAAGGGACTGAAAAGTTTTGGGCCCCTCACTACAAGAAGGACATCGAGGTGCTGGAGCGTGTGCAAAGAAGGGCAGCGAAGCTGGTGAAGGGTCTAGAGCACAAGTCTTATGAGGAGCGGCTGGGGGAGCTGGGGTTGTTCAGCCTGGAGAAGAGGAGGCTGAGGGGAGACCTTATTGCTCTCTACAACTACCTAAAAGGAGGCTGTAGCGAGGTGGGGGTCAGTCTCTTCTCCCTAGTAACAAGCGATAGGACAAGAGGAAATGGCCTCAAGCTGCGCCAGGGGAGGTTTAGGTTGGATAGTAGGAAAAACTTCTTCACCGAAAGGGTTGTCAGGCACTGGCACAGGCTGCCCAGGGAAGGGGTTGAGTCTCCATCCCTGGAGGTATTTAAAAGCCGGTTAGATGCGGTGCTCGAGGACATGGTTTAGTGGTGGACTTGGTAGTGGTAGGTTGGACTCGATGATCTTAAGGGTCTTTTCCAACCTTAACGATTCTATGATGTCATCTTAAACCAAATGCTGCCCTTCCTGTGATGGGGCCATACTAGGAATACATGATCCAGGTACCTTAGACTGCAAGAACTGAGTGCTCTAGCCCAAATTTTTCATGTGTTTACTGTCAAAATGAAAAGAAGCATCTGAGGCAAGCAGAGTTTAGTACTATTAACTATTTTCATTAGTGATCTTGATGGAACAAAGTAGGCTTATCAAATGTGCAGCTGACACTAAACTGGGAAAGGCTGTAAACACACTGGAAAGAAGGATTATAATCCAAACTCATCTGGACAGACTGGAGAAATGGCGTGGAAAACAGTGGGGACTGAAGACAGTCCAGAAGAGAATAATAAAATCTGGAATGAATGATCTCTGAGAAAAGACTCAAAAAATTGGTGTTGTTCAGTCTACAGAGAAGACTGAGGGAAGATATGAAGACTTTGATATGTAGAAGAAAAAGAAAAGAATCTGATCTTGCTCCAATCACAATGGATATGAAGAGGTTAGAGACTTAAAAGAAGGACATTCAGAGGAGATGCCTCGTACTAGAAAGGCTACGCATGCATCAGTGAAAACCACATAGTATTCAGAGAAGACTAGAATCTCAAGGAGCAGCATGAAAAGCCAGACTAGCTTTGGAAGTGCCTCTGAACTTCCAAAATGAGGAAAATCTGAAGGTCCTGCTCAGAGGTTGGGTGCAGAATGATCAAAGTCCCTGCTATGCCATCCATGGGCAAGTTTTATCATCTATTACTGACTGCCAGCCAGAAGGTACTGCAAGGAAGCTCAAGATTAAATACCTCTATCCCATTCACAGCTGTGCTGAACTCTGTCCCTGACAGTGCAACAATCTCCACTTCAGGCCCTATATTATAGGGAGCTGGAGGCTGCTGTTCTGACTAGTTACATTGGCAGAAAAATTCTCAGTATGTATATTTTGAAAAAATCTTCTAGCTCTACTCTGTGAATTTAACTTATATTTCTCCAGCAGCTTGCTACCTGCTACCATTAAGTGACAGCCACCCAGAAACTCATAAACTACAAGAAAGGCTTCAAGCAGGAACACTACTATAAGCATATGGGGAGGAAGAGAATAACGTTGTTTCTGGCAAGTATTAAGATAGCAAATAACTTGATAAGAATTTGGTCAAAGTTAATGTGCCTAAAGTGCAATAGAACTGTTCTAACTCAGAAAGAGCTTCCATTTAAAAAAAACTCATCTGAAAAATAAAATGCGTAGCATTGAACTGGCCTGTGGAAGTAATCTGGGTCACCAGGCTCAGGTAAAGAGCTCAGAAAGAGCTCAGCTATGTGGTTACCAATTACAATTTCTATGGCATCCTGGGGTTGTCTTGGAGCTCTCCCATCCCAGTTTGATCTTGCTTAATTTGTTACACCAGATCTCATCCCTGGTTGGCTTAATGGATGCAGTGTAGAGAGGGGGATAAAAATAAATCCAGATCCATAGTGGTAGGTAACAGCAGTCTCAGATGTCAAGGGACAGTGAGACCATCAACAACATCCTAAGACAAAAAGAGACTTAAAAAAAGTGAGAAATATTGCTATCCAGAAAAAGGTATTAAAAATGAAGCATCTGTGCTCTGAGTCATTATAGGCCCTTGACAGATGTGATCTTACCAGCCTCCCACTGTAGCTGCAAATAAAGACCCCTTCTCTTTCTTCTCTCCCGACAAGGATTAATGAGTACTTGGGATAGCTCTCAGACAAGCAAGCAAAGGCTGTGAACCTTTTCCAACACTGCAATTTATCTTGGGAAGACTATTCACATCGCTTTTCCCTCCCTCCCCAGGCTGGATTATGCTCTGACCTAGCACATTAATCTCTCAAAATAAAATAATAATAATAGAAGAAGAAGGGAAAAAAAGAGCTGGACAATTGCCAGAAATAAATTAATAACCATCTCGAATAGCCCTGCTGTGCAGGAACAAACTGCTCAACTCCCTTGCCACCCATGTCATTTGTAAGCAAAACTATTCCCAGTTTAGATATCCTCTTAAGTGCCCTGCCTGAGACTTTCAGCAATTAATGATAATATCTGGCATCTATATAGTGCCTTTCATCCCAACAGCTGCCAGAAAGTTTTTTTACCAAATGCAAATAATACACATTGCTACATTTGCCACTGAAATGCAGACCCTCCTAAGTGGAGGAAGGGGCAGCATGACAGATCTGTAAGAGTAAAAAAATATGAAAAGGTATTTCAAAAGAGAGAATGTCGTGAGAAAGTTTCTAAAGTTAGGCCTAGTCCACATATGATTTTATAAACATTTAAGTATGTTAACCATTTAGTTAAAACATTTCTTCACCCATGGTTAGAACTGGCGCTGTCTTTTGTGGCATCAGTAGCTTCAATTTAATACTGTTACTTCTTTGACGCCAGTGGAAAGCCAAAGAGACAAGTACTTGCAATTTCTTTCCATTAAATGAAGACATTTGTGCTTCAGAAATATCTATTTACAGAGATTACTCAGAAAACAAAACTTAGAACAAAGTCAACCAGAAAAGCAGTTATCCCACTGCTAGTACCTATTCCTTCTCAAGCAATGCTTACATCTCTCTCTCTGGACTTCAGCTACTTGCTGGCATTACCAAACCCTTGCTCAGGTCTGTGATGGCTCAAAACCCAAAACTCATTACCTCGCTGACTTCCTTCCAAAGTTTTATCAGAGATTTTATTATTTTTACTCTTCCACCCACATTTCATGCGGCAAACATGTTGTAAAGTATCCGATTATCAAAGACAAACATCCATATATCAAGAAGAAAAGAGACTCTTACCTTTGACTTGACAGCTAGGATGATCTTAGGCAGGGCAACAATTAGGCATTTCAGCGCGATGGTGAGGTACTTCAGTACAAAGTCTGCAATCCCCACAATCCACATCAGGTCGAAGAAGTCCAGCCTCTCAAGGTTGGGTTTCAGAAATATAAGGCTGAAAGGCATGACAACAAGGCTCAAATACCAATGAAAAGAACTTCACTTAAGCTTCTTGATACCAGCTGTATCCACTGCTGGCCAGAGAAAGCCTAGGAACTCCACTGAACTTCACTGAAGTTCTCAAGGGCAATAGGAATAAGACATGCAAATTAGTCCCGTGGTTCCTCTGGGCCTCTTGACTTTGTCTGTTCTTGCCCATTTCTACTGAGGTCAGCGGGTTTGCCCACTATCAGAAAACAGGACCCAACATGTACAAAATCTGTTCTGGAAGATTGGGATCTCCATAACCTGCAATTCACACTGTAAAAGAGCCTTTGGTCTAATGACAGTGCCCTTAGTCCACAGGCTTGCTCTATCAGATATGACTGCAAAAGCTTATCCTTTGAAGTCCAAGTCATTAGTAGTTATGATTCCTTGGGGAAGTCATGGCCAAGTCAAGACCACTATGTCTTGCTCCTCTGAGGCTGGCTTGCCACAGGTAGAACTACTGCAGAGGCAGCAGTCTCTAAAGCTACCTGTGCATGTGAAACAAACTGGTGACAAAGGAAGCACTGTATCAGACATGGCAGAAAGGTCAGAACTTCAGGTGTGTCATGCTGACAGTGGCTTGCCACTGTCTGAAGCAGACCAAGAGCTGGGCTTTGTTAATTAGCAACTCTTACCTGAACCAAAGATCCAAAAAGGTAGTGCCCCTTTTTGTTATGTTATTGACAGAGCAGAACATTTGCTCTTTAAAGAAGGGGAGTCCAGGACAGCAGTACTTCATCTAGCAATGGGCAGGAGCTACTGACCTGAGCAGCAATGAGGACTGGACCCTACTCACACTGAAAAACCAGGATTCCTCTTCAGGATATTTATCTACTAAAACCTCATGGTAGAAAGCAAAAACTTAACCAAAAAAAAGCAAAAGTAAAATAACCAACCCAGAATGAAAAGCCTGAACATGAATTTAAAATACTCACAACATTGGCACAGCACAACAGGTAAAATTACACCCTAAAAACAGAAACAGAATCAGAGACTTAACTACTATACATGCACTAGAAACAAGCAAAAAGTAAATAAATCAGGAAATGAAAAATAAGCCAGAAAGAAACAAAACCGAAGCACCTATTTCTAATTTCACAGGCCTGCCTCATGAATAGTCACAGGTCCCCACACAGCAAGCAACTGATACACTAGTCCAAGCATGACACACCAAGCACCACTACAACACTCGCAGGAATCGGGCTTTTCAGTGAAGCTGTTGCCCAGTCTGTTCACCGTTAATAAACCACGCCCTGAACAGCGTGTAGGATGTCCCCAAGTTGCTGAAACCCTTTTATTTTAGATGATTTATCCTTTATTTTAAACTAGTCCCATTCATGCATTTAACCTTCTTCTTAGAGACACGCTGTTTCCCTGTGTTGCAAACAAATTTCTTCTTCATGCTTTCACACCTTTCTGCCATACCTGTTCCTTGTCTTCCATTCCCTCCCACAAGTGCTATACAGAGTATCCCCTGGCTTGCCATCTCTCATTCGGACCCACACATACAAGCCTTCTCATCTCTCCCCCTTTCTAGAAGCATTTACATACACAGCTTTCCAACTACGAAACCCAAATACATTAGGGGCAATTCCAAAGGCTACCAGGGTTGTGGGCAGACCTTGACTCTTCCACTGCACAGACAGCATTGGTGAGAAGAAGCAGGGAAGCAATTAAATAAATGACAGAAAAAACATACCCAAGAGCCATCCTGCCATAACCCAACTGACGCATGTTACACACATTTTATTTTCAATCTGAAGTTCTAAGTCCCCTTCAGTGGGAGAAATAAAATTGTCATTGGGAAGATAATTCATATGGTTTTAGCTACTAATATCAAAACTACTTTCTCAAGTAACTAGGTTTGATATTGCTCCGTTTCTTGCTATCTACTCTGCTAACATCCCCTTGCTTAAGTTCTGTATCTTTGTTTCCTACCTGTCATTTAATCCCTGCTTTATAATAAGAACGGATAGTACTGAACCAAATCCATGGATACTAACTTTTCTGTATTTGAGAACTACTTTAGTCAGAATTTGGAAGTGCAGGCTAATCTTAATTACCCCAGATCCAAATGCCTCCAAGCCCTGAGGACACTGAAGTAAAACACTACTATTTCATCTCCAGTTTATCTCCTGTAATGGACTCAAAGCTTGATAGACTGAAGAGAAAACATTACAGGAAGAGGAAAATCCGTGGGTCAGTTTCTTATCTGCTTCCAACACCTGCCCTTTATGTTCAGTCGCAGTGGTAAAAACAGAAATTCAGAAGTCCCACGATAAAAAAGTACCCACCCTGCTTTGATACATAAGAAAATTGCAAGCGTACATGTTTCAAGCAGCAGCACTGTACTATATCATCACACCCTGGCCCATTTAGACCCTGGTTATGTCATTTATTGATAGGAGCATAGTCCACTGGTAGAAGCGACGCACACATTATTTTCCTCCACCGAAAGGTATTACAAAGATGTAACAAAGACAGCAGATACCTTAAGTACGCACACTTCATCCCAAAGTGTGGGGAAAAGTGGGCTTCCCTCTTTTCCTCCCTGGCAATTATCACCTGCTTCCATCATGTACAGTGTAAGTTTTGCCCACCTGTTGTACAGCTGCTGAGAGCTGAATGTGTAAAGCAAGTACAAGGTGTTTCCAGTAAGAAAGGCCAGGATCCAGAAGACAACCAACACTGATCTCTTCTCCTGAGCAAGAAAAAGAAGCAGAGAAGATAGATAGATAAATTCAAAGTCTTAAGGGTTGTGCTGAGCCTTCGACTGCTGAAAAATGCAAGACTAACCCAGGGGACACAAATATGCAACTAAGTGTTCAGTAATCAGTTTATTTACATAGGACTAAGAAATAGGCTGCTAGGTAAAGACATATATAAACACAAGCAGAAATGGCTCTCACTCACCTAACCTTTTCAAATAAAGTAACTTCAGAGAAATTAATGGAAATACACTGGTGAAAATGACAGCCTTACTTGCAGAACACAATTTTCAAAGTTGGGATCTTTCTTGGGACATCTAAACTCTCCTGATATTTAAAATGCAGTTTGACAAGCAGGCTAAAAAAAAAAAGTCAGTTCCATATATTATACTATAATTCTGAGCTGCCACCTGTCTGGAATGACACTTCATGAAAGGGGTGTTTTAGAAATAGAGTCAAAGTCACTTACAAGAAGGCTTAGCTAAATCAAATATAACGTAAACCCATCACTACATGCAGCAGATATGAATGTTATCTGAATGCATTGAGGTTCTAGAACATGCATTTTTGACTGAAAAAATAATTAAACATCAAAAGAAGTAAAAATTTTGCATTTCAAAAGACAAGGAACATTATAGAAAGAAGCTGGGTGGCAGAAGACCTTGTCCTGGGTCTTGGCCCAGTGTAATTTTGGTGAGTAAATTTTACTCCTGGGAGGAAAAAAAAACCCAGCATTTTTCTTGTGAGCTGATTTATTAAGAAAATAGCTCTTTGTAGCTATTCAACAGCCAGGGATGTTAGGTTGAGATTTAAAGCAGGCGGATTAATGGGCACACTGCTGGAAAGGCAGAGGTGCAAAGTGCAAGGCAACAGCAATTTATTACACGATTGTGCAATTTATCTCTTCATTCAGCATCGTATCACATTTATTCCACTGCTGCTGGTAGATATAAGTATACGCTTGTGCCACCCATGTCAGTTTTACAAAAAAGCAATTCTAGTCTTGTGCATTTAGTCCTGTTGAAGTATTCTGCTGACACTGAAGTTCATAATACCCCAAAAGATCTGCTGCTTTATTTATATTCTAAGAATATTATCAACAAAGCATTATAAAGATACTAACAAGCAATACATCTACAAAATCCTTCAGCTGAACATCTCAAAACATTATCTAAATGCAAATAAATTAAATGTCATCATTAACTAGTGAAATAGGTTTCAGCACCTCTGCTGTACATAATAGGGAAAGGTGCAGAGAAGTGCTTCAAGATGCACTGCCAGTCAGTGGCAGAACCAGAAGCAGATTACAAAATCCCTGACTTTTCCTCTCTTCGTTTTACTATGCCACGCTTTCACAAAAGAGCAGGATGGAAACTGTGGGAGAGCATCAATGGGGAGAAGCAGGAAGAGGAAGTAAGGATTACAGCACGATACTCTTCTTCTGAGATCTTCTTCTGTATCCATATAATGGCATTCATCCCTACACTGCAAAAGAAGGTTCAACATAGACATTGTTTTGTATACAAGGAGCAATGTTGCTTGGGAAGATAAGATGCTGTACTCACCTTCAGAGCAACCTGTTCTCGGAGTGTAGAGTTGGCATATGCGAATGTGCTGGCCATTCCAATGCACACAGCAATCCCTGCAGGGAAAGACACTGTCAAAGTATATACGGCGGGGTAGGAGGATCTTCAGTCCTAAGCCATTTGATGTCAGCATCTCAAACTTAGAAAAAAAATTACTGGGTGATATTCTGGATGCACTGGGAATCAAAATGACTGTGACTATTTAGTCACCTATTAAAACAGGTGACTAAAACAGGGCAGTCTGAGCTCATATAAAGTTCAAATTCAAGCTAAATGGAAGTGAAGGTACTGCAGTGAGCACTTGCCACCCAGCCCCATACAAACACTCTGTTCTAACATCAGGTTCTGTGCTGAAGGAGAAAAGAAGTGCTGCAAATTGTGGCTGCACTGTGCAAACAGAACACAGCTAGATGACAGCATTACAATAGCAGTTCAGCAGCTCATGGAGGACAGGACACACTATCAAAACCATACAGGATACCAGGTCCAAAGAGCAAGATGTTGCAGACATGAATCAATTCCTGGTTTTGGGAATACTGACAGAGCTGTAAGTGGACTAAACTCAAGCATTACTGGCTTCCCTGGGATAATAATCTCAGCATACTACTCCCAGAAGGAGTAAGCATCCTCAGACATGCCACACATACAATTTTGTAGCAAGAGGAGGATTAGATGAATAGATTTTACATGACCACTGATGGGCTGAAAAATTCAGGTACTGTTAAAGAAACCTGGATAGACATATTTCTTAGGGAACTCTGAAGATCAGGACTGCAATGTGTAACTGTTGATGCTGTTTGGCTTGATTTCACAACTGCCATCCTTCTAGCTATACAAGTGTCTCATCCCTCTGAGCCCTTCTGTACTATACAGAGGCTTTTGCTAATCACTAATGTAAGCTCTCCCCATCTCTCCTAGAGAGAGGTCTGAGGGAGAAGCCTTGGTAACATCCGCAGCCCCTACAGGAACGTCAAGGAGAGATTAGGAAAAGGTACAGAACTGATCTCCCACAGGTCAGGACAGGAAACAGATGGGACTGACAGAGATGAAAACAGCTTGGACTGAAAGGATGAATTTATCAAATGCATTATGCCATGCTTTTGAATATGTCCCCTTCATGCTAGACTACCTCTAGACACTGTCACGTGGATAAAGGTATCAGACACCACAGCATGATAAAGCTTACTAACCACCCTCTAGTACAGTTACAATCCAAGAAGGATAGATGCTTACCAAGCTTATGCTGGAAACAAAGTTTAGCCAGGAGGATCAAGATGAAGGGAAGTCCCTTCTGCAGCCAACCGATCACAGCTTTTAACTCTGAAAGAGCTGGGGCTGGAGTTCCAGCTTGTTCGTCACTGCCTTCCTCAGCATGCCCGTGGCGGTCCCCTCCTGCCATGTGCAGTAGCGATGAACCCCGGTGATGGCCATGGTGGAAATGATGGGACGACTGCCGGTGGTGAAATGGGGCTCCTTCAGTACGACTGGTCCCTTCCTCCCTTGGGGCTGGTTCTGTGTTGTGTTTCTTGCGTGTTCCCAGAACCAAACCTGACTGGAATGGCGTGGCTGTGATGGTGCCCGACGGGATACCTGCCAGGCCTGAGAACAGCTGTTGTGGCGAGGAAGCTTCGGCCTTCAGACTTTCAAAAACTCCACTTTCATCCACGCTGGTTTCAGAACTGACTGTTTGGCTCCGGTTTCTGCAGTGGATGGAGATTAGAAAAAAGTGATTAAACAAAAACGAGTGCAACAGAACTTCTCAGTCTTTTAGCCCAATCCTGACTGTAGTCATTTAAGAGTTCCTCACACACTATCAGAATACACAGATCTCCAGATGACAGACGTTTTTCACTCTTTTTGCTGTTGGAAAGTCTCAGTTGCAGAACTAGAGGTCAGTAATCAGACTCCTAAGATCAGAGTAATTCTAAAGAACTCATGAAAATGCACCAGTTCCTTCATCTAAGGAACAGAGTTCCCAAACACCCCCTTTACTTTTGGAGAAACCAAAGAAATAACCCATCCGATACCAAATTCAATATCTTCTATAATGAGTTTAATATTTAAAGAAAAACATACAAAAAAACATGTAACTTTACACAGTGCAACCAAGACAGGTCACATTATATACAACCAAATTAATCAAGCTAACTCAAAGAAATGACCTACCCCCAAAATCTTCTGTCTCTCTTTAGGGATGATCACTACTTGCCTACTGATGAATAACACAAACAAGAGACAGAGTCAACTGGGGAAGAGAAGCGTTGAGAGCTGCTTGTGTGTCCCTGGCCCAACAAATATTATAAGTGAAGGATGTGCTCATGGGTCAAGAGAAATTATTTTATTTTGATATTCTCAGCAAATTGGGCATGGATGTACTCAAATTACTGGGCACTGGACAGAATTAGATCTGGCACTGATTCCCTCCTGAGCTTGTTAGATTATAGCCAGATTCCAAAAAGCAAGTCTTAATATCTTCATCCTAGAACCAAAAGAAAATATGCTTTCTTCGCCTGAACTCAGTTCTGTGGTACTGAAATGAACACATGTAAAGTTTAGATGACAGGGAACAATACAGGTAACAAGTAGAACAATCATTAGGTAGTAAACGCTTGGCAGACAGCAAATACATCTCTAACTTGCAAAAGGAGAGTAAAGAATAAATAAAGCTCAGCAAGAGGCAAAGCCCACAAATAAGGCATGTTGCAGAGCTTCAGTCTCTCTTGATTTTAATCCTTGGAGATTTCTAACTTTAGAAATAGTGGTCACAAGCTGAGACAGCACATGCAGCACATACAGGGCCCTTAACCCTCTCTCTCCCATGGGTTCAAAAGCCTCCCCAGGCATCTTACAGGGCACAGAGCACTGCCTTTCATCTCACTCTGGAGATAGCTTCAAACCTCTCAGGGCATACCTTCCCACTAAGTAAACTCCTAATAAGGCTTTCTACAGCTACACCCCATTCCCAGTGTCTCTCCACAGGCTCCAACAAGGAATCAAGTCAACAAGATATTGCACACCTCTTCTTGGTTCAAAATATTCATCAACCAGATCTTGGATTTTACACCTAACTTTACAATCCAGGGATGTATACAGAAGACAGGGACATAATGTGTAAGTACTTATGTCCGGGAACAGAACAAACAAATTGGGTAGAACCCAGTGTTACAGATAAAGACACAAGTATTGTCTGGAACAATACTACCAGGATACAAGACTCTGCTTTCAGCA